GTGTATTGTGGAGGAACACGATAAGTTGTATGTGTAACATATTATCTTTAGTTTAGAGATCGAATAAGTTAACATTAAGGAAATGTTACAAGAAAGAGGGACACGTTCATGATATCCAAAAGGATCCAAAGGAAATGTTGTAATTACGGTGAGTACTACTATAACCAGAGACGTATAAGATGGCCGCTGGTGGGCCATTTTATTATCTGACATTATTGCGCCGATCACGACTGTCATAAATATCTCGCCGTGTAAACTTCTAACATTGTTAGAGTAGGTCAGTACGTACGATGTGCAAGGTTTGTGATAATTAAAGAATCTGTGTAATACTGTTATTTCATTCAAAAATTGATGCTATATTCATAATTGCATCAGAGACGGGTATAATTCGCCTCTCCGATTGCTTGTATACATTTTTTGGACATATTTTGCGATTTACATAGGGTAAGATCATAACATCAGTGTCGACGATTAAAACTTAACACAACAAATTCTAGTAGTTACGATACCCTGTTGAATCTGTACTTACGGAAGTCGTTTCAGTATTTATCAAAGTTGTACTTGGGGAAAACCGAGCATAGTTTTGCACCAAGTTACAGTCTACTTCACTACTTTTTGAGTACTGCATGCCTATTCCTTCAAGGAAAGTATCTCAATTAGTGTAGCCACATTTGTGCTAAAATACACATGCTTTGATTCAGTATACTTTTGTTTGGGTATTGTATAATTTCTTCAGTTTTTTATGCCCTTTTTGGTTATCCATGAAAATCTCATTGTATACCAGTTTTTTTTTGTAAGGGTACAGTACTTAAATGACTTTGTTGGGTTTTTCTTCTTTTAGCTGTTATTGAACATGAAATGATTTGAAGTACCCTCCATCATGAATTCTATTATCAAATCTCCTTTTTGATTGATTTGCTGTTTGTTTCAACCATAAATACTGAAAGAGAAAACAAGACTAATATTATTACATTGATTTCATTTTCATACAGGTACTGCATACATTTATGATTTATTTTTAGATTCAATACTGAAACAAAAACAAAAAATGTATTAATAAACTTAACAAGATTATTCACACATCGATCACTCACATTTTTATACCGTTCTGTTCCCCTTTCAAATTTTCACACTTTCTTCGTAAAAACTATTGTTCAAATTTATACCAAAATTTTGAATCATTCCACTGTATAATTCCATATTCTATTCTATCACATCATGTTTACATCAAAGATCATAATATCAGGGATGCTGCTTCTTGTAACAGCTACATCGTTGATGTGCTTTCCCTCTCATATTTCTTTAAATTACTTTAAATTAATGGGACTAATGAATTACTATGGTCAACAGGATTGGTATATAACATGTCTATTTTATATCGCAATAAAATGAATTACCAAAGAAATATGGGTCTGATATATATAACATGTATGATTTGTACTTACCGGTTCAACATGTTAGGTGTTGCTATCTGTTACGCTGAAGGGCTTTCGGTCTTAGCTGAACAATGCTCTTACATTCAATACACTTACAATACAATACACTTGGGTGGTCGGGTGGCACAGTGGTAACGCACTCGCCTTTCACCTAGCCGTCCGGGGTTTGATTCCCGGAATGGATGCGAAAAGGTATGGAGTCACCTGCCCAACCACGTGGGTTTTCCCCGGGTACTCCGGTTTCCTCCCACACTAAGACCCCTCGTGCACTTCCATCGGAGCCAACAAGAGTGATTTATATAAGTTGGAAAAACTTTCTTCGCAATTGTTGTAAAATAAATAAAATTATTTATCATTTATCAATACACTTACCATCTGAAGACAGGATGGGAGTTTCAATAATTATGACAAGTTGGTGTTTTTCCTCAACATAGAGCTTCTCCAGAAGAGCTACTCCGAGCTACTTCTATCTTCTCAAAAAAAACAAACAACCATTGTGCAGTGGAATAACATTTGAAGTACCAAAACAACTAAACTACAAGTACCAAAACATCTTCTTTTTGAGGAACCGTCACCACTGGATACTGAAATGATCATACCCCAACACTACTTATCTCAGCCACAGTATTTTAGTGTAAGCGGTAACAGCGAAATGCTGCCCAACAGTTCTATCAGCTGACAACATGTTCCTAGTTCCCATTAGATCTAATAGCTAACCAGTGTACACAGATTTCCTTTTGATGAGTTAGCCTGAAGCCCTTGACTCTGGTAATCCACATCCCACAGCCTTCCAGCACCTTCCGAGTATATTTATATCCTCCATAGTCAAAACCCTTCAGAATTCATGTTTATATGCTAAATTTGAAAATTTCAAAAAGTTTCATCATCACATTAAAAGAACTATGCAATACTCACAGCATTTATTTCATATTTAAAGTTCCCATTTACATTATGTTTGAATTATTTAGGTGTTTTTCTAAACATTTTTCACACAAATTTCAACATAAAAATGTATATGAGAATATTCTACATAAAAATGTTTTGAATCCTATTTTTTTCAGAATTTAGCAAAGTTAAGCTGATGAAATGAAATAGCTATGGAGAAGATTCATAAAGATGCATTGCGAAAGACAAGGATCCGACTTGTCCAAGATCTTCATCCAGATGCAGAAGTGTGGGACATGTTGGTCACAGAGAGTATTTTTACCCCGATAATGATGGAATATATACAGGTAGATGGTTCTTTCCTCCGAAAGTCACATGATTTTTCCAAGACAGTGACAATAGCGTAACGTCATAATGGGTAAAACATTAATCCATCTGTGACGTCACCTATTTGTAAGTATGCTGCTTAGCAATCGGCTAAGTTGGAGATGATAAGTCTCTCCCCTAAACATTAGTTTTGTCGTTAAATATAGGATAACGACGATGGATATTAAGTTATGTTTGATATTCGTGGTAATACTGAGCGCCGTGCATCAAGGTTCTAATGTTTACCGGGACCTTACGTGGTAAGTTAATTTTTTATTGTTAATGATACGTACATACGTTGCATCATTCTAAAAATGACATCAACATTTCGAATTAATTCTCCTCATCTGCAGCCAACTATTTATTCATACATTTGTTGTGTTTATGCTCTAGCTCATCCATATATTCCTCTTCTTAAGAAAAGAAAAGGCAGTGTGACTTGTATAAGCTCATGGAACATGCCTGACTGACTGGCTCAGTTGGCAGAGAAGCTTTGATTAACTTACTGGAGACCTGGTTTTTCGAGTCAGAAGCATTTGACAAAAATGTGTTTGTATGCTCCACCTTTTCCTGGTCAGGATCATATTCTGTTGTTCTGTCACATCTTTGTTTTTTTTTCAACTACACTGATAGAGAATTTTAAGTTGATATGTTGAAGTATACAATAATTTCTAGGTCATGCTCTGATTCAGTTTCAGTCGATTTATTTTTCCAGAAATATGGCCAATTAACATCAAAAAAATTTTTGAAAATATTCCATAAAAAATCGTTTGAGCCTTGCCGAATTCTGGTGGGAATTTAAAAAAATAATCTGCAGGCTGAATTTTCATCTCAGATTTTTTTTACCAATAATTCTACAGGCAAGACTACGTTATCATTTCATGAGTAATTAGTAAGCACCTCTTCACAAATTCAATAACACTAGAAATTTCCAGTGTGGTCATTCATGTTGCTCTGACAAAAGATTTCTTGTTCTTCATTCTTTAAGTGTATATGTCTCCTTAACCATTTTGTAGATTTCTAGTTTCAGAAATTTACATCGGAACATGTACATGGATTTTTTTTGATAATCCTAGGAACAACAGTTCTGTTGGATAAATTTTCTAATTCTTCGCAAAGGATGTTACTTTAAGAATATATCAATTTCATGATTTTTGATAATTCAATGAAAAAATCAGATTTAAATTCTTGCTCCGTTACTCTTCATTTGACAACATCCCATATGGGAGATGTTCTGGTGGGCATTTAATTTAGCCAATCAAATTATTTCTTACTGAATCTTGGAAGTAAATGAATTTAGGTGAAATAGCTTGAAAAATCTTATCTGGGTATCAAGTCATTTCTTCACAATATCAGGGTTTTCCATAATTTTGCTAGTATTGGGCTGTGTAGTGTAAATAGGAGGCTGGCCTGCCATGTACGTGAAGTCGTGTATAGAACATTGTTATGGAACTGGATTGGTGTAGGCGGCCAAATGATCGAAGTAGCCGGTCAAATTGGCCGGCGACCGGCTCTTATGGAAAACCCTGCAATATGCCGACAAACCTTAGAGCATATCTACACGTCAGTTTGATTAAAATACTGATCCCCTTTCCCAAGAGATCAAGAGGAGGACAGTTCAAGACCTGAAAGTTGACTATGACAAAGAAGGTTTTCGTTGAAATTTAACATTTAGCTAATTATCTGTTGCTATTAAAAAATGCATGAAAATATTCAAATAACATTATTTTGTAGATTTTAAAAAAAAAAGATAAAAAAATTTGAATATTTCAGGCTGAAAGAACAAGGGCAGATAAGGTTCGACGACTTTTAGATGATTTGGTAAGAAGAGGGCCGAAAGCTTATCAGAAATTTCTGAAATGTTTGCGGAAGTCTGAACACGAGGATTTGGCTAACGCAGTAGAGGACAATGAATACATATTAAGGGGATTACCGGTTCCTTTCAGGGCAGGAACAGAAAATCTTAACAGGAATGTACAGGGAAACCCAGATGTGGAACCAAATGTGCCGTCAAGCGTTTCAAGTCAGAATAACATTAAAATAGAGCAAATACCTTCACAGGTAAGTAGATCTAGTTTTGTTTATAAATTTAAACAAAAAACTATTCTTAGGCAATTATATACAGATATTATGGAACATTTTCTTCTAGTTGGTAATGCCAATAGAATAGAACTCTTTATAACTCAACCAGTAGGAGATAAGAGTGTGACATTTCGATGTCTACACGGTCACTTTCTTCAGACAAATGACCTGCTTGGAGTGTACTAGAACTGATGTACATAGTGTTTATGAAATGGTACAGAATCGACCAACTTTTCGACTGTACTATATTCCCATGTACACTTAAGTCACATCTATGACTATCTGACAAAGTCTCATGGTGACCTATTCTAATACCATTCATCTGGCGTCGTATGTCCGCAAAAAATTTAACACTTTTCACTTCTCAAAAACCTCTGATCCAATTTCAGTGAAATTTTGCAGAAACCTTCTCTGGCCTAAGATGAACCACAATTGTGAATTATACAGTCCCCAGGGTCTCGCATTTCCCTGTGGGAAAGGGATAAACCTTACTATAGTTTATATAGGAAAACTAGATTTTTGAGCATAATTTGTTTAAATTCCATCGAAAATATTTCAAACTTGGTTAGAATTATGAGTGAAGGATGACAGCTTGTTGGTATTATATATATATTGATTATTATAAACATGATATAGATTATCATACATGATATTAATTATTATAAACATGATATAGATTATCATTTATATATTGATTATTATATATATGATATTGACAACCTAAAACAGGCAATAATGACCTACTAGTACGATAGTGAACAGAGCTGTAAAAACCCATGTATTCATTGACGAACTAACCTATAGACTGACTAACAATGGATCTCACACTAACTTCAAGCAGTGGCCGACCTGCCGTGGGCATCTCAGTATTTTTAAGACATGTCACCCAAACAGAACTTCAGTATGCTGTCCCCTCAACCCCCCCCTCCTCCCCCCCCCCCCCCCCCCCCACTCACTGTACCTTTTATTAAAGATTTATATTTAGAAAAAGTAAAGCCAAACAATCAAATAAACTGCATCATGCACATGCTGCCAAAGATGATTTGTTTTCATTATTCTAATTCCAAGGTTTCTTATGATGTATGTAAACTGGATGTGTTCTGAGGTGTAAAGTTTATGCGACGGACACCAAACCAGCAGTAAGCTTATGAAAATTGTTTTCTCCAGCAGGAATCAGAAGAGGAAAGCATGGTTTTTCAGGAAAGCAATGTCACACATTGTCAACCATCAGAAGAAGGAGAGGCTGGGCAAGCAAGTCTGGCTTGTAGTCTGGTAACACCTTCAGGATTTGAAACACGATCAGCAGCCAATCAGAATCCCTCTCCACAATCAGGGACCAGTCACATAATACCAGGGAATTCAACTTCACAACCGGGAAGTCACGTAGCAACAGGTGTCTCACCTTCACAACCAGAGACTTCCACCTCACAATCAGGGAGCCTATTATTGACAAGTAACTCAACAGCACAATCTAGTAGTCCCACAGCAACAGGGAACAAGGCTGGTCAGGAAGATGAAGATGACGATATCATCATGACAGTAGCAGATGTCCAAACTCCAGAAATCAGGGGTAGGTTAATCATTTTGCTTAAACTATTTTTACAGGATTGATCCCCAAAATCAGTTTTAGAATAAACCATTTTTAGGATCAATCCAAGAAACAATTTTAGTCAAAGCCATATTTCGGGATCAATCTTGAAATGACTTTTGATAAATAAGATTTTCGAGAATGATTCCAAAACAAGTTTAAATGTCTACCAAAAATGTGAATTCCATCAGTTTTTCAGGATTAGTTACAAATATAGCACTAAGTACATGAGAAAATACATTTTCAACGGCATTAATTCATGGTTTTGAAATTCAGGGGCTGAATGCATCAGTATTTACTCAAATTCACTAGCGTGAATTGCTGGATTTGCTAAATAAACAACAAAAAGAGGAAAACCATGATTTTTTCATCTTGAAAAACTAGTTTATAAGTGATAGTCATTGACACAGTAATTGATGCATTCAAAAATAATAAAAAAAATTGATCATATTCTCAGTAAGGTTATGTATGTATGGCAAGAAATTAAAATCAAAATATATATATACAGCAGCTGGTTATCATCAAAGACTTGTGATGGGAAATCAGTTTAACACCATAATCGATTTTGAGTTAGATTCAAATAGACCTCGGGATAAAAATTAACAATTGTGTTCAATATTTGTAGAAAGTGAATGCATTTTCTGTTGTGGTAATGACCTGAGGGTCAAGGAAGTCCCTGAAAATATCTCTTTGTCAAAGAAATTCATTTGTTCCATTAGAGTCAGCCGGACACCTTTGGTACCTGTTTTGAATCAAGACATTAATATTACATCAAGTTGAACATATCATCTAAAATCTACTATTATATACCTGTGTTTGTTTTCTAGAAGTTCCAACAGCCTACCAGAGAGCATTTGCTGAAAGACCAGTAAGTTGTAACAGCCTTAAATCTGTAACTTGTTTTTATCTGTGAGTGAATTTCATAATGATGTCAATTTGTTAGTGACAAGCTTCATTCAAGAAAGGTGTTTGCCTTTGTCTGAAGCAAGGAGCCATGGTAGCTGAGAATCTGTCTTTATCTCTAGCAATCCTCCTCTAGTCCAGAGGTTTGTGGAAGTCACCAGATACTGACCATAGGTCAATGGTTTTTTGTGTCGCCTGCAGAGCTGGCAGACACTTAGGGATCGCTTTGTCCTTCATCACGCGTTGTCCTGACTTTTTTCGGTAATGCTTTGAGTTATTAAATTGAAATTTAGCATATGGCTTTTTGTTGCAAGGGTACAGATTAAGTTTGATTCCCCATTGTCTGTGACCCTTTTTGGCAGAGTTATGCCCCTTTCAACGTAGAAAATTTCTCAGGAATATTGCTTTGCGCAGTTTTCCCTTTATGCTTCAAGTTATAGAAATGAAATTTGGTATTACAACTGTATGGTTGATCGTTGCACATCCAGTTGAATTTCTGGGTGACAATTACACTTTATGCAGGCGACACATACAGTTCCGAGGAACTCTCGTCTAGAGGAACACTGGCTTTCCTCAACTGCCCAAACCTGGCACATCCTTAAATGACCCTAACTGTGGGATAAAAAAGCAGCAATGAACCAAACGCTAAAACAAACAACATAACCATGTTGATTGGAATCAAGTTCTCTCATTGTTTAATATCTACAACATAACAAACCTATACATTTTTTCATATTGACAATTAAGAACCAATATTAAGAACAGAAATGTATGTCATGGTTTTGCGATAAGCAATATTCTATCTATATGTCATGAATAAATGATGGGAAATTGTACTTAGTCACATCTGTACAATCATTGTCGTTTTGGTGTCAAGAAAAATAGCTGTTTGAAGTACATGATAAATGGGATTCGTTAGACTCATGAGAATATGTTTTTTGACTCCCAAAAATGAGTCTTGACTCTTGAATCTTTAGTCTTTTTCAAATGTGACCTTTGTGATTTAATGTATAATATTGCCAAATGCCAAGTGTCATCAAAATATGACATAGCCAAGATAACAAATATTATTTCTTAAATTATTGTTCGGAGTGATGTCTTTTTATATGAAAACTAAACTAGATAAACTTTGAATGATGTACTGTGTCACTTTTTTATTTCCTTTTTTTGCAGGGGTGGGGATGGGGGAAAGGTATGATAGGGTATATATTGTCTTTGTCTAAAAGAAGATATAAAATTTGTTAAAAAATTATTTCTGTGCTAAAGAAATTCTACTTTTAAGGTACGGATGTTTTTTTACAGAATTGCTCAATTTTGTTATTCTAGTACAGTACTTATCAAACCTCATTTTAAACATACTTTTTTAGATTTTAACACAAATTTAAATTACAATTTGTTTATGATTTTAAAAATTTACAGACGTATCGAATGGAGTCAAATCCAAGGGGCTTTTGTCTTATCATCAACAACAGGGACTATACAATGGATTCTTTGATGGATCCGAGAACTGGAACCGATGTTAACAGAAACCAACTAAGTAATCTATTCAAAGAATTGGGGTTCCACGTTGATACCAGAGATAACTTGACAGGAGAGGTATGTCATATGTCATACAGGAATGTCAGATGATGATCATTTTTATTGTCATTTTATATCATTTTATTGGAAGAAAAATATATCTAGTATCTAGAGAAAACTAACTGATACAGTATAAATTCTATAGATATGGTGTAATGAAAGAGAATAAAAGTTTTGCTATTAACTACTATATTAAAATTAATCAAAGTACTGAAAGTACTGAGAGGCTAAATGTGTTGAAAAATGTTCACAAATAACCGCTAAGATATATTACTTTCCCCATACTCCTACACTTTGGAATGCAAAAATTACTAAAATAAGAGAACCAGAGGCTATTTTCCTTAATTTTAAGCGATTTTATATCTTCTTTAATTCTTATTTCAAACTTGATGACAATAATGTGAACAAATCAAAATAGGTGATAAAAAATAAAATAACAAAATAAACACAACCGTATATTCATCGCCAACAAGCCAAATGATAAATATCTCTATGATGAAGTTGACTAAATAAAACCTTTGAAATCCCCAAGATGTTGCAATTACTATCCTATCAATATAAGGATTTAAACAAATCGGAAGGACTTTATACCTACTTCTTTATTTTGAATGTATTGCAAAGTAATAGTCCTTACTTATTATAATTAAAAAGGAAAGAAGAAAGAAAGATAAGGTGTACACAGCATTTCAGATAGATAAAAGTGTAAATAATTACATTAAATGTATTTACATGCCTATCTTCCTTGAAGTATCATGGCAGAATCACTTACGTATCCTCCGAAGACTCGGTATTCTCTCACATGCTGACTTGAATCTCTCGCACACTTTAGTTGTAGTACAAAAAAATTTATTAAAAACAAGTCTAAATAACTTGTTTGACTATTATCAGAAAATGAAAAAAAAAATGTATTATTTTTTTTATCTTTTTTCTGTTGTTCATAACAGTAAATACCATTTTGGTGTCCTTTTATTTACAGGATATGAGAAACACTCTGAGGGATTTTGCTATATATCCTGATTTATCCAGAGTAGACTCCCTTATTGTCGCTTTCCTTTGTCATGGAAACAGTGAAAAGTTGTTTGGTGTAGATGGAGTCCCAATTTATATACAACAGGATGTATTCAAGGTGTTCAGCCCTCGGGAATGTCCACTTATGAAAGAAAAGCCAAAACTGATTTTGATGAATTCTTGCAGGGGAGGTAACTATATGTGGGATAGGTATTCTTTCAGCATATGTAATAGTGACTTCGATTGTTGTCAAATGTGTCATTTGTACAAAGTTTATGCTTGCTTGTATCATTTGTACAAAGTATGTATTGCACTTTGCTTAAGTGTTTGCTTTTTATGAAGAAGACAACGAGAAATTTCTCTCATTACGAAAGTAATCATTACTCAGATGTACTGTATGATTTGTCTATGTTTATTCCACACAGATAAGAGGGATGTTGGATGTTCATTGGATGGAATTGATGAAAAAACTTCAACTACTGATGCTGCGAAAACTGACATTAGAGCACACTATCCAGACCCTAGAAATGATACATCACTGACTGCAAGCTTTCAGGATTTATACATCGCCTATTCCACTTTCAGTGGTAAAACTCACACTTATCATATATGTACAATGTGTGGTTATCCCTAGGATTTCACAATTAATCATTTATATCCTTGGCTCCTTTTCCTACCGATACATTTTAAGAAAATTATCAATTCACATCTATTGGTGTTTAATTACAAAATCTGGTGACGCACTTGTCAACATTGATATCTTAATATATTAAGATAATAATTTTTATTTTTTTTTTTTATTTCACTGATTAAATTTTCACTATCAAGTTAATGTACCACAAATTAGGGAAAATAGCATCCTCACAAAATAATCGGTTATACAGTAAACAGGGTAAATTAAGAGAAGTTGTTTGACTTCTATGTGGAAGGTTACCATGGTATGTTAACAAGTTATAGATAACTGAACATTTTGTAGGTCATGTGTCATACAGGAACAGCGAAGAAGGAAGTTGGTACATCCAGAAACTTGTGGAGGTTTTCCGTGAACAGGCAGCATTCTGTGACATCAACGCTATGATGACACAGGTCAGTGTGTGATATTAAAGCCATATAAAAATCTGTTGATAGAATGATTTTTTTGTCAATGATCATGTTTTATTCTGCAGCATAGATAAATGTAATGATTGGAAACTTATACATGAATAAAGTTACCCGTGAATACAGTTTATCCATAAAAACTGTTTATCCATGTTTACAGTTAGTCTACCCATGTATACAGTTTATCTATGAATAGAGTTTATCCATGAATAAAGTATATCTATGAATACTGTTTATCCAAGAATACATTTATCCATGACTACAGTTATCCGTGAATACTGTTTATCTATGAATTCAGTTATCTGTGAATACAATTTATCCTTGAGTACATTTCATCTATGAATAATGTTTATCTATGAATATTGTATTTACGTAAAGACAGTTTATCCATAAAAACAGTTTATCCATGTTTACACTTAATCTACCCATGTAAACAGTTTATCTATGAATACATTAATACAGTTACCCATGAATACATTTATATGAGAATAATGTTTATACATGAATACATTTATCTGTGAATACTTTACAGTTTTGTTGTTAATTCATGAATCAATTGCCAACCAAACATGAAAAGAAAGTATCACAAAAACATCCGATTTTACAGTATTCAAAGTTGGGGGGTTGGACTTATCACAAAAGAATAGTATTTGTTGGTAATACTACTATACATCAATATGGTATATCTAGACAATGTCTTATTATTAACTGATTAAGTCGTTGGTATGACAGTATTTAAAAAATCTTTCGAAATCTTTTATGGAAAAGAGAAAAATATACATGTGCTTGTCGTTTTGTCCTCAAATTCTTTACAAAAATACTGTGACTTTTTCAGGTAAATCGACGTGTCGCCAATATGTATGACCCTTCTTCCATGGAGGTACAAGTTCCTGCACCATGTCAAACATTGACTAAGGACTGGTTCTTTAACCCACCAACAAGTGTTTAAATTGTACTTGGAAAGAACTTTTCATCGTTAAATTTTCTTCAAAAAATTTTCAGACCTATTGATGCTGATTTAAATAGATACCTGTGTGTATGAACTTTTTTTCCTAACACTATACAGGAAAGCTAGTGTTGATCAGTGCTTGATTTACCTGCTTTCCAATTTTTGCAAGATGTCTAGTATCTGTATATCTGACAACGTGTGACATCATAATTGATCTGATGTCATGTTCTATTGTCTCTCTGATGTGTATCTGCAAAGGGAGGTGATTTTATAAAAGAAACGGGAAATGAAATTAGCAGAGAAAATCTAATCTTGGCAAAATCATTTACAAGAAATATGATCTATTACCCATGTATGTTTGACGCTGAGATTTATTTCAATTTTGGGCTGATGTTCTGTAACATCTCATAATTATTCTTAGCTTCGCCTGCAAGGATATTCTGTAACCCTCAAAATCGCTTTTGTGGGGGCTTTTCTGGGCCTATAACTTCGAAACCATTTGACTCAACTTCACAAAATTTGCTGTACATATCAAGTTGGTGCCCTGGTAGTGCCTTTTGCTATTGACAACATTTCATTTTTTTTTTTTTTTTTTTGTGATAATTTTTCTGCTTCAACTTTGAAAGCATTCCTCTCAATTCTACAAAATTTTCTGTATATATTAGCCAAAAGCACATGACTGTGCATGTTGTTGTGTATCCACAAAGTGTCTGTAGGATCAGCTTTGCTTTCAATGTGACATATGTGGACAGGAAATTCAAGTTCAAAGATTCTTCAAAACATATTGTTTAAACATTATGTAATAATAAATGTGTACATAGATACAACTTGTATGAAATGTAAGTAGAGTTATATGTTGTTCTACATAGTGTATGACTGATTAATTCATACATGCATATACCGGTATGTATGTATATGTGATAAAAATGTCATAACTTATTTTGCTGCTTTTTATTCAACCATGACTGTTAACAAACTTAGATTTTCCTTGTAAGTGATACCACAGGCACTCAAGGCCAGGATACTGACGTTATTTAAACGAAATATCAGCAGAATTCAAGTTTATGTGCCGGTTGACAAATCCGAGGTCCACGGTCATTAAAAATACATGTATGTATACATGTTGTCATGAGTGCTAAAACAAAAATCAATGTTTAAAAAATAATATCCTGGCCTCGAGTGCCTGTGAGTGATACATGTTTTTTCCACTTTTCAACATTATAGTGAACAATACTATATCAGAGATGAAAATCTTAAAGGGTACCATCTCATGTCTGTTCCAGGAATTAAACCCTATATGTCTAGGTGAAGGCAAGTGCATTACCACCATGCCACCCGGCCATATTCTGAGCTTATCTATCTAGTATTTCAAGCCTTTTACTTTAATTATCATTTGGCACAGATCCAAGTGAGATTTCATACTGGCTATGAGATGGCTGATTAAAAGCAGGATGATGTATTTCAAAATTGGCAGTGCTGTGCTGAAACATTGCTGGGATCATTGCTTTGTGAACAGCCAGGGTCATTTTGTAGTAGCTGGTGGCAACCTCACTGAACAACATACAGGAGGCCCATCACATCCATTGCATGTCTTTCAGAACAATAAGGGTAAAGTTTTTTCCCTAATGACACAACCATGTCAGCATAGACGAGTGTGTTTCTCAAATTCTTGCAAAACCAATCTGCCACATTGGGTCAAATACAAGTAGATAGATAAATATTCAAAAGTTTAAGTTGAGGGACAAATAATGTGTGTCATGATGTTATGTAAATTTCTCACTTGTTCTTGTTTGAACAAATATTGCTGCTTCACCATATATATATATTTACAATACTTGACATAAATGATGGAAAATATCAAGTCACAATCATAATGTTCAACATAGATATGATATGGAAATCAGGGCTGAACAACATCCAAGAACAGTAATCTTTTCTGTTGTGGTCGAGATGTCACCTAGATGTTCCGTCCACTATGTGGCCATCATCAGACAATTAAGAAGATAACAGTCCTTGGATGTTAAGAAACCTACATTTTACATTCACCACATAGGAAGGACCTCTGTTGAATACTATAAGGTATCCACCCAAGTAGATACCACTATTTCAAACATTTGGATTGTTGGTACTTCAGTTTTTAAGTAATCACAGTTTAATAAATTTTCTGTGAATTTTGAAATATTTTTTTACTGTGAACCAGATATTTTATTGTTGAAATACAGATATTGTTGTAATGATTGATGAGATTAATAGATTTATTATGTATGATATCTGTTAATGTTATTTGTTTTGGTAGCCTGTTCGCAAGCACAGCCAGATTCCCTTCAATTATTGTTATTTCTACACTACATATCCTCTCGGTTTAAACTGGTTGTGATTGAAGAAGAACAATTTTATTCTAGAAAAGTGATCAGTACATCAGAAATGGAAGATGGGAAAATAGAAAGTCATCAATTTTTGTGATTGTTTACCTATCCAATCTAACCATTGGGCATCTGATCTTATGTTATGGTGCAGCATCCGTAATCCATCGTCCAACTGTCTGCCCAATTTTTCAACATATTCTCAAAAACCAATCAGTATTATACTTAGATGAAACGCTGCCAAGTTTATTCAAATGAATGACCTTGATCCACTTTCAAGGTTGAAGAGGTAAAATGTGTTGAAATCTTCAAATCACATCCTATTTACAATCAAATTCCACATGGTGCTGCTATTGAGCATGCTAGGATAAGTATGTGTACTTTAAAGTTTGTATAAATGAATGACCTTGACCCACTTTTTAAGTCACTGGGTCAAAGGTGTTAAGTACTTTCTAGGTCACAGGGATATTTGATATTGTAAACACCTAAGGATCTGGTTTTTCCACAAATTCATCTGCAAATAATCATTTCAAAAAAATAAGATATTTAAGATCATTCGAGAAATAAATAAGTTGAAATTCTCTTCTGAAAAAAAAATGAAACTTACAACCAACTTTTCTCAATGTTAGAACTTGAAAAGTCACATGACTCTGCAACAGGACCTGATGATATTCACTTTCAGTTCCTTAAACATCATTAAAAAGTCATCGTTAAAAAAACTTCTTGATATTTTTTATTATATTTTAGATTTGGTAATATCACAAAGTCATTGAAAAAGGCAACTGTGATTCCTATCCCCAAACAGGGTAAAGATACGACAGGTCCCTCCAGTTACTGTCCAATATCACTCACGAGTTGCGTTTGTAAAACTCTAGACCGGATTAATTTGGTATCTGGAATCCATTCACATAATATCACCAGGAAGAAGGAAGATGATAGGAAATACTATCAGTAATGCACCGCTTGGCACGAGAGATTTTCACTTAACACGGTAGATTGGTCCCAGTCTACAGTATCGAAATTGTAGATAAAAAATTGAGATTTATAATGTTTATCTATCGGATATGACTAGTTATTAGAATTTCACAAAGGGGAAGATGACCTTACGTTAGAGTTTGGCTCAGCAATTTTTTTACAATTGAAATGAAACATAGCCACAGATGAGTTCTTGTCGAATATTGGTTAAACGGAATGTATGGTTCGTCTCACCGGCGAATATTGCTCTTCTGTCGACGTTTGGTGGTTCTAAATGTAAATGAATTAAAAAAAAAGATTCGGGTGATCAAGCTATTTTTATGCACACGGGTGTATAATGTACATATCAAGATGGATAACTCTTCCAGACTTCAGCTAACAATTAAGTCTCCGATTTTATTTCAACGCCGTCTTACCATTCAAAGAACACTGTGTCGGAGTCACGCTCTAATAAAACATGATTTTTTTTTAATAATAAGGAAAAAAATCAAGTGAAAAGACGATATATATGTTATTTATCGTGTTTGTGATCCGGTTTTATCCATGTAACATTTTTCGTTTCCGACATTATAATCATCAGAGTAAAACGACAAAACAACTACCTCGTCGTTTGCGTAGTGTGTGAGTACCTGCTTTGCTGAGACAAAACCGTCTACCTATGTATGAATTTGATTATTTAATTAGAATACACAATATTGATGAAAACCTTGTTTTCTACATAAACATCAGATCTACCTATGGTCTTTTATACATACTAATTACTGATTTAAATATACACATGAACATGACTGGAGTATAATATATAGTTACATGTACTTTCGTTTTAGCTGTGTTTAACAAGCAGAGTAAGGTGATATTCTAATAATCAAACATTACATGCAAAACTGTCCTGGTTAATATATTTCTAGTATATCTTTATACAAGTTTTTGATACACTTTGATCTTGTAAGATTTTGTTTTAAAGAGAATATGTTTAATGCACTTAATCATATATGCACACGTTCATGTAGATATCGAGATTTCGAATAATTTGTTTTCAGTGCTGTTTGAATAATCAATAATTTGTTTTCAGTGCTGTTTGAATAGTAATTTTGGATATATTGAAATAACACATAGAAAGATGGAAAGCATACTTGTAGTCAATATAATAAATACAAATTCAGAAAAATGAATATGTGATAATACATTTCTTAATGATATTTGTTATTTTTTATACTTTTTAACTCCATAAAGTTTATTTCTATACAAGAAGGTTATGGCAACAATTTTTAATTGGCACAAAAATCTTATGTGACCTTATTTTAGTGAAAAATCAAAAACATTTTCTTTAAAAAAAAACCATGAAATACAGAAACATTGATGGGGTGTTCGTTTCAAGGATGTTTCAAGGATTTTGGAAAATTTGAGGTGTAAGTGGGATTATGGGAAAATGTTTGATATGAATATTTACCTTTTGAAGAATGCTGTGACTTGACCAACTTTTTGAAAACAAGAGACCCATGAGCCCTGTAGCACTCACCTGGTTTGGTTACACTGTAATTGCTTTATCCAAACTGAAGGCAAATGACAAAATGCTTTCATTTCACGAAGGATTAAGACGCATTTTCCATATTTGGCCCGGCCCTTCTGCCCCAAAGGGGAGGGGGAAGGGGATAGGGGAAAAGAATTAGTATTTATATGAAAATGGGTTTCATTATCTAAGGATACTTCAGACAGAAGAATGTTCAATTTTAAATTCCCGTATCTGCCCGGGCCTTCTGGCCCCACTTGTATAAAACATCTCAACTTGAGATTTCCTCAAGTCGAGATTTTCCTCAGCTGATATCTCCTTGAAAATATCTTATATGAAAATTCCTCAAGGAATTTCAGGACATCCTAGCCGATGCCTTCCTCCAGTTCCTTGAGAAAATTTTATACAAGCCGTTTTTGAGGAGATATCAGCTGAGGAAAATCTCGACTTGAGGAAATCTCAAGTTGAGATGTTTTATACAAGTGGGGACTGATGACCTACTATTTATACCAACTGGTTCCCCTTCTTCCACGATGCTTGTGGCCCAATTTAGACAAGGAACAAGATGGATTTTGAAATCGTTCCCCTATTTGGAACCTCTACGCTTAACCCAGATAGATCCATAGTTTGTTCCCAATTTAATCCACTTCACCTAAGGATGCTTCAGACTAAATTTTGACAATTTATGCAATTGCTACAGATTATCGATTGATGTTGCGCGGATACTTGATTTCGTTGATAAAAATATTTCAATAAGTATGCTTAGGAATGGACAAATGCTTGTGGCTTTAGTTAATTATTTCAGAACAGAATACTTAAAAACACTTACGAAAAGTTGATTTTTTTTTAAATTCAAGAAATGACGGTAAAGTTGATTAACCGTTTCGATATGATAAAGAGTTGATTTGTACATCTCATTCATATCTGTGTTATAATTTTCAGCACGAAATTCTAAAAGTCTGCGTAACAAGAAATGGAGGAACATCATAGAATGACAATTCGGCAACTTTTTTCAGATCTTGTAAAATATATTGACCCAGACAATGAATTGAGAGACGAGATGAGGGATGGACGGATTTTTACCACCCAAATGATAGAGCAAATTGACGTATGTTGTTTTCTTTACCTTACCTTTTTCGCGCCATGCTTATCTCTTTGAGTTTATAGCCATCCATTTTTGGCTTTGTCAATACTGTAGCATAAATTTGACAACCAGAAAATTCTAAAACTTGTGTCACACCAATACACCGGATATTGGTACTAGGCAAGTAGTAAATAACAATATATATTAAGGTTAGTATTTTAAGGATTTTCGTTACTTTAGGACTCCAATCATAAATGAGGCTTGCAATCACCTCCTTAAATCAGCGTTTGTTTAAGCCACATAATATGATACTTGGACAGATGAAATAACAGGTCTTCAATTACTATAAGACGCATTATACCTGCATGCGTTTGTATCTGAAATTTTACTCCACTTCTTGAAATATATTTAGTTTAAAAACAATTGCCATAATCACCAGCTACATGTATAGCGCAAATTATTACGTCATTTAAGCCCTTTCACAAAACAGAATAATGGTCATGAATCTATAGTTTACACTTACTGGATGTTTACACCGATCACCGAAGTTAAAAAACAAGCTTTTTAGACAAACATTTAAAATCTATCGCTAGATTTAATAAAATTGTGCGCATTTCTAAATATGATGTCTTTAATATATACAGGCAGATTTTTATTTTCACAAAGAAGTAAGTTTCAAAATGAAGCTATATTTGTAAGATTAAGGAAAATCAAATGTCTCTGGTATTCATGATTGTGATTGTTAAAGAAAATTAGACAGCCTTTTAACAAGGGTTTCCACAAGAGCATCCGGCGTCATCAGCCAGATTGATACGAAATAAATCCTATTTCAAAGCACTTCGTTGATAATGTAACATTGTATGCATCATTATCAACTTTCTGTCTTTAAATCTATCGTAGACAAAAGGGTTTGGCTGGTTTGTAGTTATGGAAGATTTAAAAAGATCTAGATGTAATATTGTGCATTCCATAGTCAAAGAGTTGATAAAAGAAAGGAAGAGTTAGTTTTAGATTCTACATAATTCAGGAGTTTGAAAAATCTTGTCTGTTTCTTACCGGATAAGTATTAGTTTGACCAACTGTAAGAAGTAACACAGATTATTAAAAGTCAGGAGTTAAACCACTGATGCATTTTGTTCTTTCTACAGTCAAAACCAACAAAAAGCGAGAGATGCAGAGAGTTGCTTACTAAATTACCTCAACGTGGACCAGAAGCTTATCATGTATTTCTAGAGTATTTACGAAATTCTGGACATAAATTTGTAGCAGATAAAATTATGAAAAAGGAAAGTGATATAAGGAAAATGG